ATGACAGCTGCAACAATTATTCCCTCTGAACCAGCTTTGGTTTAGTGTCAGGTTCAGTTTTTAACATCGATGGCCTTTTATTTTGAAAGTGGGTTTTTCTTGTGCTTCCTGAAGGCATGGCAGTAAAACAAATTAGCTTTTAGGCAGCTTTGTACTTGAAGCACCATCCATATATCAGTTTTCAATTAATTAGTGGATCTAAAGGCCCAAAGTACTCGGATTTGCACTCAAGACTTATATAAACACAGAAATGTTAACGCTATTCTAGGACATTCAGATAACATCCAAGACCAGAACTAAGCACCATCTCAGATAAAAGTGGCACTTCTAATGTATATGAAGGCAAAGCATCTCTGTTTTTCTTTAGGTTTTACAAAGCCTTGTCGTGCTGACAAATTGAGTTTGAGCAACCAGGTTAAAAATAAAGCCCATCTCCACCACTTAAACAAAACTTTCTGCTGAGCATTCTTAAAAGATACTTTGCAAATCCCATCATAGAGCCTTAATCCTGTACAAGCTGTCGGTTCTGACAGTTTCTGCAGGAGAAGTAGGCTGCTTTAGGATGTCGAACGAAAAAAAGAACATTGTTGTGATACAGCCTGAACCATTACACACTCAGCTGACCAGAAACCACAGAGACATTCCCCTGAATCCCTCTCAACCTCTGAAAACACCACATCTAATGGAGTATGAGGCCATTTTACAGCATAACAAGTATCTCTAACAGTGTTAATGTGTTAATGTCTCAAAAGGAAGTCAATACCATCAGACTGAGGACCATCTCTGTCTATAAATGCGTATCTATGTTGACTGTTTAGATTGTTTTCCAAGAGGGAATTTGTTTTGGGTCGACTTTGTGAGCCTAAAAATATGCTACACATCAGCTGGCTTGTAAATACTGAATGAAATAAATGTTACAATGAAGGTAAGCTTTAACTCCTTACAGAGTTAAAGCTTTAACCTACTTTTACTTAAGACAGTAATTCCCTTTGCAGGGCTGTTAAATAGATACAATGAGGTATAACTGCACCATAAATTACAGTAATTTACCACAGACGCACTAATAATACCTACAGAGAAAATACCTCTATTTGTCATGGAGACATTCATAAAACAAAATTAAAGAAATATATATAAACCTAAAATGAACTTGGCCCATCTTTTCAAGCTATTTCCAGCAAAAGATGCAAATATTGTCTGCAGCGTGCAATAAATCCAACTTAGTACACTTGATGTTCTTCAGTGGCATGCATGAGACGACAGACATGAAGGAAAATCTTGCTGATGCAATCCTAAGAGAAGCTGAATATAATAACCTTTTTTAAGCACAGCTTGGATAAAATTGCATTATACGGTGTGGCACCTCGGGCGTTCATGTCAGTGTCTCGCATTATGACACAAAATGGGTCAAGCTGCACATTATAATTTGAGCCGTGGAACGATAACGACAAATCAGGCAGTATTGCCTCATTGAGTATATCAGATATATAAGTGTGTGTCAGTGTATGAGATAGGACACAGAGCAGAGCAATAATGCAACATAAAGTGTATGTATGAGATCATTTAAATAGAGACTGAGCAGGATCGTGTGAGAATAAGGCGTTATACGTGATTTAAAGTTCAAAGACGGAGTAGTAGATAACGCTGTTACTGTGGCCAAGAAGCCTGGTATATCAGGCTTTTAAAATGATTCAGACTGAGTCCTTGGAGGCCATCTTTGGACAAGCGCCAGAGGGTGCTGGTGGTGCAGCAGCAGCACCTGTATCCAGGCCCCCAGGGGCCACACGGTCCCTCCACAGTTGTCACTGTGTGCAAAGCGGCTGCAGTTGCGTACATCTGTGCACAACAGGAGATTACGAGGGAGTCCCCGTGTTTGTGCCCAGGTCTGGTTGGCAAAAAAAAAAATCTGCCAGCAAAACCTGATTTGATTGTTGCTGTGTTTGCAGCATTCAAAGAGGCTGAGCCGCCATGACTCCTCAGCCCAAAGGTAATAAATGCTAATTAATTGTGAGGTGTGCCTCTAAGGCAAATAAAAATCATTGGTCACGAAGACTGAATTAAAACGCATCAATATCAATTTAACCAGCGTTGACTCCGAGTTATTAGGCCTAAAGGAACCTTGTCTTTGACCGCCAAGTCTGATAATTGCAACGTGAAGCGTGTGAGCGTGACTTTGTGTTACTTTAGCCAGCATGATTAAATTTAAAAATGGTCACTTTATAAATTAATAGAGAATTATGCGATGCAGAAATATGTTGCATGTAAATCAAGCATTGTAACCTTGGGAGCGAAAGTAAAAAAGGGCTTACACACCTATGGAAAGATGCGTTTGTAATTTAGGTGTCCACAGCTTTTGAACAAAATCAGAACACTGAATGTAAAACTAATGTCAGTGATTCTGAACTCAGAACTACATTTGACACCATCTTTATTACTTAAGATAATAAAGGAAGCACAAAACCAGCCAAATAGCTGTAGCTGTATTTAGAACCCAGCGTAATTTGATTTTATTAAATTAATATCAAATATCAAACAAGATTGTCAAACTAATGAGTTGATTAAATAATCACTCCATTTGACTAAGATTACTTTTAAAAGAAATACGTGTATTGACCAAACTTTACTCCGTAAACCAAAGTGTAAACTAAATGTTTAAAGCCACCAAGATTTTGTGAGTGTTAGGATAAAAGGAAACATGAAAACATCAACTCTGATCACTTTCTCTGTTGAGCAACAGGCTTCTGGCTAGGCAGCCTGCATGCACCAACAATGCATTATTAATTGAAAGAAACACTGATATTTTTAGACCCGTGGCTTGTTTGCACACAGCACCTTTCAAACGTATTTGTGTGAACGTTTTAACATTTTTCCATTTAAAACCACAAAAATTGATGCATTTTATTAGGATTTTATGTCAACCACCTTGAAAACAACATGCCCACCATTAGAAATAATAATGATGGTGAGAAGATACTGAGATAACTACTGCATAGTACTGGAAGAAAACCTGAGAAATAACCCAATGCACATGTTAAATCTGTATACAGAACTCAGAGCAGCTCTACATCCAACTTGACTGAACTTGAGCTATTTATTAGTAGAAACCAATCTAATCTCTAAATGTACCAGACCAGCAGACAACCACAAGCAGCTGGGCAGCAGTTTTGCTGTTTGTAATCATACTCACAACTTTGTGTTGGTCTAACAGACAAATCCCAGCAAAAACATTAAATACTGGAATTGTAACGGTAGAAAAGTTGAAGGGGTGTGAATAAACTTCCACAGGGCAGCAGCTATGGGTGTGCACCTGTCACTCCTTTTGCGCAGCGCGTTGTCAGGAGTTGTCGGACCGTGACGACCTGCTGAACCCTGTAACAGAGCTCAAAGAGCCGCTGTAAGGAGCGGCCCCTATAGAGCTCACTCACCGGGACAGAAACCAGCGTCCACCCGGGACAAAGAGCAGGAGGAGGAGGAAGAGGAGGAGGGTAGAAGGTGCGCTGGAGGCGACACCTGTCAAGCTGCTGCTAAACACGCCGGCTTTATGAAAAAGGACTGGAGACTTCGGGGGATAAACCGAGCTGGAATCGGAGATTAGTTGCTCCTTTATTGTCGGTTTTCATCACTCAGACCTCTGAGGAGAGGAGGGGAGAATATGAGGCATTAACGTCATGTCAAAAGCTGTTTTTAAAAAAACTGTGTTGAAGTTACCATCTGATCTGGAGGCTCCTACTTGGTACCTCGTTAAAGGGCCATGCCGCAGCACACAACTCTGGATGTCCTTTGATTTGCTTTAACTCCAAATGAAAAATAGTCAAACTGGACTGGATTAGTCTGTGAAACGTAATTTGTGAATACTTTATTCCATCTATGAAAAAGTGTGATATCAATGCTTTTCTTAGCTTCTTTCCCACAATACACAGAGTCCATTAAAAACCAAAAACTCACCACAGGCAGATCAAACCGGGATGAAATCACTGCCAAACATATTTACCTGATGCCACGTATGATAGGGTCCAACTCAACACAACTACACCAAACATGAGGGGAACCATTCAACACTGATTACAGCTTTAACAAAAATAAATAAATATCCTTTGTTCAGTTTGTGAAAACATTTATATCTGTTTTAAAGCTACAAGTCACCAAAGGCCTGATCCAGCTTACCAAACAACCCAAAACTGGATAATAACTTTCATGACAGACGCAATTTCAGATTTGTGAAACTTTTATTCAGTATAGGTGATCTTTATCTTTTTTTAAAACTTAAGATGGCGTCCATTCTAAAAAGCCCACCGAGACGGCTAAAAACAAACGTAACTTGTTTTGTTTTTTTGTCTGTTTGTTATTTTGTTCTTTTAGATTTTGACTTTTTCTGGTCATAAACCCTCTTACATGGGGGCTCTTCATAAGAACAACTAAATAAGCACTGATTTATCTGTCAAATATGAAATATTTTTGGCATTTTTGGGGCTACATGATAAAAACCTCAACACTTACGAGTCCAAACAAGGCTACAATTACTTTAGACAAATTTTTATTCTATAACACAACGTAATCTGGAAACCTCTATCGCTTTGTTTTTATCTATTTTATTTATTATAAAATAGATAAAAACAAAGCTGCCCAGGCTTAAATCAAGCTAGATGACAAAAAGAGTTATTTTTTACAAAGTCAATACAAAGTTTCATCCACGTATTTTTCCAACACTTTAAAAATTCATAACCATCCAAATCAAACATATTTTTAAACTGAATCGGGGCAAATTGTTGTCCGGAGTTATTAAATTCAGTGGAATAGCCCTTTAGTCAAACATCGAATCGGATACCAACTTCAGCGACTTCCTTTTGAGTTGACGAACTTGACGCAGATGGCACCTGAGCGGTGCGCATTGAGCGCAAACAGCGGGAGAACCAGGATGGAAAAAAAGGGATGCGGTGGGGAGCTTTACACCCACCGACAGTGCTCTCTCTAAATACCGCACACACACACACACACACGTTTCCCCCACGCGCATTAACCCACTACAGAGCGCAGAGTAAAACCGCGGGGTGGGAGTTAGGATCGTCGCGGAGCTTCGGTGCGGGCAGATTCACCCTCCTTCGCCCCGCTGAAGAAGCTGTTGAACCTGCTGTAGTACCTGCTAACCGGAGAGGATAATACAGGAAGAGACGCCCCGATGGACGCGAGCAGGAGAGGGTCACAAGGTATGATGGATCTGGACCGTGTTGATGACTGTGCGTTTGTGGAGGGAAAAGAGTCAGTCCCGTTACGGTTATGCAGGGTTATGGGGACTGTCATGCTCGCTGTGCTTCTGCATGCATGTGCGCTGGTTGTTACTGTGTGGAGTCGTCTCGTAGAAGCGCTTTTACGCAGCAAAATGTAGGAGGGGGGAAAGTTGGAGATTTAACCTGCAACGTCTAAAAGAGTTTCAACCAGAGCGAGATTAAAGACGGGGATTATAAATTGTAAAGAAAAAATCTCTTGCACGATCTTGCCCGTCTCCATCCTTCACAGGAGCAGCGATGTGTGCGTTTTTAATCAGAGTATAATTGCGTGCGGTCATAGTCTATCATGTTTGCGCCTTTGCATGAGAAAAGGAAGCCCTCCTTTTAATCCGTCACTTGTGCGCCAACAGATGTGCTTTGCAGCTTCACTTTGAGTAGGACACAAGCGGGACTAAAACCACACACAGAAACAAACAAAAAACACTCACTCTTTGCACTAAACCCATCGAAAATCTCCTGCTGGATGCAAATATATATGCGCAAATGCACGCACGCACACAGAGGCACTGTAAATACATGTGAGGGATTACAGTAGTCCTACATCACACCAAGCCTGCAGATTAGAATAATATTCTCAGGGCCAAAGATGTAGAGAACATGGGATTAGATACATAAAGAGATGGATGGATGATGGATGCATGCATGGATGGATGCAGAGAAGCCAAAAAGACGGGAAAGACAGAAGGAGACAGAGAGCAGCAGAGAACAAGAGATTAAAGTGTAATGTCCTAGAGAGAGACAGAAGAGAAAAAGGGAATCCAGGCCAAGTCGTGTAGTTAGAGGGAACTGCCATGGCAGAATGTGGCAGGAATAAAGACGAAGAGAAGGCAGCAGACACTCTTTCTTTATCGCCTCCCTTTTGATCTCATCTTATTCATCCATCCGAAAGCAAGAGGGGAGAGCTGCTTATATAACTCTTACTTTGTAACCTATTAAGACAAAAGGAGGTGGGAAGGGGGGAAAGGAAGGAGGAAATAAAAACACAATAAGCCTTTTAGAAATTGTGAAATTGCGAGACAAAATTTTGAAATGAACCCCGGAAAGAGGAATAGTCACTTTTGTCTCTAAAATCCTGCAGGCTGAACTGAGCCAACGGCAAGTTTTTAAATGCACTTGGTGCTAAAGGATATGTAAATGCGGACTTGTTCTGCACAGCATGCGCCTGCTGTTAACGCTTTTGTAGGCCCTAATTGAACTCCAAGAATTACTCCTGACAGATTAATCTGGTCTTTTAATCAGCCCTTCGTCTTGTACCGTTGACTTGTGCAGCTCTGCAATCAGGATGCAAAAGCTGACTGCGGGCAATAAAATACAGCATTAAAATATGATGTGAGGACTCTGAATTACAAGCAGAAGCTCAACAGGCTCCAACCATTTACAAGAAAAACTGCATTTTAGATAATCTCTGCTCACTTCATGTACATATTCTCTTCTGGTATGGCTGGACAAAAATTAGATTTATTGGAAAAAATATTTTCATAGCTCAAAAACATCCTTTATAGTGTTGTTTGGATAAACGCAGAAATGGTAAACAGGACCAAAGTACTACAATTGGGATGATGCATACATCATCCCAATAGCAAACAACCAGTTGGAGCCAATATCTCTTGAATGTGTGCGCCACACATTCAAAGTCTAATTGCTAGAAATATATAATATATTTGGGCACCTGAATTGACTTCATTGTCATTTACAACCCATCTGCTGATTTTATTGATGAAAATCCTTGAGCCCAGTGAGAGTGGTGGCATCGTGATGATGTAAAACAAGGTAAAAATGAGGGTCAAAACCAGTTTTTCTATTAAACTACTAAAGCACTGCTACAAATTGTATACAAACCAAAACAAAAGCGTGGCAGATCAATCAGTTGCGATTTGGGTGTTAATAAAAGGCAGAGAAGCTGTGGGGGAGATAAACAGAGAACAGTCCACCTTACAGGTTTTATGTCCTGATCAGTTGTTGTGTTTTGACCATTTTATCAATCCATACCTCTACTTTGTACCAATGCATTGCAGTGTAGTCCCAACCTCCTTGTGTTAAATATGATGATTCTTATGTATCAAGTTATTTTTCTCATTCATCTTTGTCGAATATGGAGACAGAGTAGGGTACAATTAAGTATTTATCATTAGTTCAGTGTTACTTTAATGTCGTTGTATGTTGTGAATGTATATGGTTTCATTTTTGTCTGTGTGATGTTAATGTGAAAAAGCAAGGAGTGTAATTCTGTGGTGGAAATTCAATGCAATCATTCCATGGAAACATGGAAAAACTGCTAAAATTTGCACTTTTGTTGTGCCCATATTTAAAAACTGTTGGTTCTTTATCATTTTCGTCAAAGTTATTAAGAGTCCTTGCGAAAGGTCCACAGAACCACTTGTGGCTGCAGTTTGCAGACCCCTGAACTAATAATAATTTGAAGCTGCTGCTTTAACTTTTTGTTTGTCAAACAGACTATAAAATGTTGCCATTGCAGGCAAAAATTGCTGCATGGTTGGTACAAAACATCTTGCAGAGGATGTGCCTGACCAAAAGTGCAAAGATACAAAATGATGGATAGAAATGGCCAAACCTCCAATGCAGAACACTGTACATGAAGCCTGTTTCACAAAACTGTTTCTCTTTGTTAGCTGGACTGACGCAGTTTAATAGGGTTGACCTTACCTTGCCTCTGCTACCCGTTCAATAGAAAGGTATCCATAGAGCTCAGGGTTTCAAAGACTTTCTGTATTTAGGTATACAAGGCAGGATGTGGCGATCATGAGTGATTGCCTTGGAAAAGGCCGAGGCAGATTAGAGAGGGGCCTCGTCGTTGAACGACCATAGCACAAAATTGGAGAGCTTTTACTGCAGCGCAGTGTTCATGGTTCACAGTTTACTTTAGCAGAATGCCTTAATGATGGTGGGAGCATGTAGCCATTGAGACATGGTCAAGAGGACTTACTAAAGTTTAAGCCAATGGTCAGAAGGGGGATCAAAGGAGATCGAAGTGAGTTTGAAAGCTGCATGGGTGAATTTTTTTCAGAAACAGTTGATCTACTGAGATTTTCATACAAAATCATTTCTGGAAGTTATTAGGGAGTGATTCAAAGAGAAAAAAAAATCAGTGAGCTGCAGCTGTGAAGACAAAAATGCCTGCATGACAGGGTCAGAATAGAAGTAACAAGAAGGCATCAATTTATCCTGCCTTATATCAGTAGGTTTGTTGCTATAGCAGTCTTCTGACAGCTACCTCCAGCAGCCCTAACAGTCTCACACTGGTTACTTAAAGTGTAACAAAGTGTAACAAATTTTGGAAAAAGTGATCTGAGCCATGAGATGCTGAAAGGCGAGGACAGGTGTGGGGATGAGCGGAGGGGGTAATCAGGGTTGTGGTCAGAATGAGAGAAGTACTGCTGCTTACTTATAAACTTTGTTGATATATTTAGCGATTTTCCAGACTCCAGTGCTTCCACTCTCACCATCTGTCAATACAGGAAAGCAGCTTTGGGTTGTGGAGGAGATTCTTGTGAATGTGCAGCAAACCAATCTGCAGCAACTTTTAGATGCCATCATGTAAATATGAACCCAGAATCTCAGAGGAAAGGTTCTGAAATCTTGACTAATTTGAAAATTTGAAGACAACAGAGTACTATCCAGCATCCGAAAGTTGTATTTATCAAGAAACATTGAACTTTTATTATATGAATCCATGGTTCCTCTGTGACTGGGTTTTGTTTTAACATGATTCAGTCTCCTTCTTGTTTGAATTCTGTTTACACAAAAAGGAAAAGGTTTCTCTCTGCATGCTAATATGCAAGCGTTTCCACTAATCCTGTGCGGCGCCGGGCCTTTATTTGTCCGTGAGTTTGTTGGATGTTCGTCAAAGTAGAGCAAGTCAAAACAGGGATCTATACGGCTCTAAACTGTGGGAACTTTCTCCAAACATTGTGTACATGGGATGTCATTTTAAAATAATAATTTGTGTTTCCTGCAGTATGATGTACAGGAAACTGTTCTTACTCGCTCCATAAAATCAGTCAATCTATTCTGTATGCTTTAATGTAAATTCCCAACTGCGTGACTTGAGGTTCCAACTCCTCCGCACTTTTCATCAGCAGAGAGGGCATCTTCCCTGGTGGCAGTTTGTTCGGTTTACCAGTGCGTGATTGCATGTTCATGTTCAAGAGCACTGGGTCACCTCCCTGTGGCTGTGCTGTGCTTCATGTATCTAAGTAATATGTCTGCTCTCCTCAGGCGCTTTCACCCTCCTATCTAATACACTGACCTGATTGATTTCTGACTCTGCTCATCTACTGATTCATTATTTTACAAAATATGACCCTCATCATCTCTATGACCTCAATATGCATCTTACTTACGTCTATTAAAAGTGGAGACTGATTGACTGTACGTCACTTTTAAATAATAATACACTCAGCTTTGTTTATATTAGTCATGACATTCTGCATCAATGTTTCATAACTAAAAATGTATGCAAGAGAGAATCTGAAACCAGGACCAGAATTTAACTAAGCAACAATACTTACAGTAATTCCTTTGGCATGCTCCGAACATTTCCTTTTATTAATGACTCAATTATGGAGCTGGTTCCAGTCCAAATCAATTACCAGCTGGAACAAATGAGAAACATTCGAGCTGTTCATGCCGGTTTAGTTTTTGCTTTATTATTATTTTTTATTCTATTTTGTAAAGCTGAAAAAATGCTGAAGTAAATTGGTGAAGCACAAGCTTTAAAGACAGACTGCAATATTATGAGGTAGGAGTGTGCATCGTTTTCAACAACCAGAACAATCTAAAAAAGAGCCATGTAGGCTGGGACTGCAGACTATATTTGGACCTCCAGATATACCTGTGCATTAGTGTGTCCAGGTACCCCACCTTATTAAAGCCTGTGTGTGGGAAATGCTGCACTTGTA